CCTGCCCCAGGCAGCACAGGGCAGGAGGCTGGGGTACAGTCGGGACAGGATGCCTGTCCGTCTCAACCTACACGACACAGGGAGGACACGCGAACCACCAGCTATTTTCTCAAAAATACTTTTGTGTAGAATACACAGATAACAATTATATATACATCCTGAGCTGTGCGTATGAGTGAATGAATGGTTCTGGATGAATATAGCAGTAATAACTACTGTGTAAAAAACAGTGAGAGCGAAATTTGAATGAAACACAGGAAAACAAAGATCAAGCTTGTCAGGCACGTGGTGGGAAAACTGTTTTAATGCTGGAGATGCCGATAGGACGATTATTAACGGTTACAGCTCATCCTCTGCCCAAGCACAGAACATGTAGGCAACTTAAAACGTCAACAGGTGTTACGGGAGACGAGATGACTAGCGATTAACGCTCAGCCCCTCCTGGCTGCCACGAGCATTTCGGTCCTCTGCCGTCTGTCCGGGTGGGACGGGATGAAGGTGCGGGGGCAGGATGGGGGGGCTGCCGGTGGAGGGGGGGCTTCAGGTACATGCTGACTGAACCCCCATCGCCACTCAGCAAACCCCCCCGCGGCTCTGAGAGGAACAGGGCGTTCTGTGATCTACTCTAAAGGTATCTAAGACTCAAAAGGACTGACCTCTGTGCAGGTATCAGTGACAGAACCTTCCCTTACGAAATGAGATTTACACCACAAGTCCAACTCACTGTGAAGAATCACGAGATGCTAAAAGTTCATACTAATGTGCAAAGCTAATTTAATCTAAAACATTAAGCAGTAAAAAGAATTACTGTCAAATTTATCACTACGCATTTTTTCCCCATATTAATTCCTTAAACAGTCTAGCTATTTAATAATTTAGAAACCATTTCCTAAACCAATAATCAGACCCACTTAACTCTCAAAGCATACCTACATTGTAAATACTTTATTTCTTGTAAGCTGAACAGTTAGTTAATATATAAGCTTTTATAAAACCATTTGGGGTATTTAAGAAATACATACAGACTATCAGGCCTGTCTAAGCTTTACTGTGAGGTGAAGGTAGCTGATGATTAGAGTTTGTGGCTATCTCCAGCACAGGAGGTCATGGAAGGACGTGCATTTGGGACTGGGCATCGTGGGGGGGGGGGGGAAGGCTCATCTGCTCAGCTGAGCGTGTTGGTAGGCATGCAGTCACACAGGGCTCTCCTTTCTGCCCGCAGGACCAAGCTCTCTGTCTGTAAAACACACGGGGGTGTGAAGGTCAGAGTACCCAGAATGCCAGCATCTGCCACACCCCCCTTCCTAATGGCTGCCGCTGGGGCGAGGGAATGTGCACACCCACATTAGCGGCATGAAAAGGATGGGTGTTGAGGTGAAGTGTTAGACTAGAGTGTTAGGTTGGAGTGTTAGACTGGAATGTTAGACTGGAGTGTTAGGGTGGAGCAGACAGTGTTAACCATCAGGACTAGTTAAAAAAAAAAACTTCAATTTAAGTTCTGCTTTGAAAGTGTGTTATATTCCAACAGCAGTGAACCTGAGTTTATGCACTTCAACAGGTAAAAAATGGGAATCATTATAAAATGTTTTAGAAATCATTATTTAATAGAAATGCAAGAAAAGCAAACTACTAATCCAGCAATTATTTTATAGCTCCTTAGCCAAATATAATTTGCTGGAGTTCTGTCATGGTCCATTAACACAATATGGCTGAAATGAGATTCACTCAGAATATATTGTAGCATAACCAAACAATTGAATCCCAGGAGCAAAACCCTAGTAACATAATTACAGATCTGAGACAAAGAGAATTTGCCTATTTTACTGAAGTGGATTAATATGTTTGGTGCCATAACAACATTTCACTGAACTGTAATCGTTACTTTGAAACACTGTCGGCATTCTGGGAAAGCTTACCCTTGAGTCAAGGTTGAAGGCCGTCTTCCTCAGATCTTGTAATGCCCTCTGCATAAATTCAAAGGCATGGCAGTCCACACAGGGTCTGCCTGAGACGGGCAGAGGCGCAGTGAGGCACTTAGCATGCGTGTACTGGTTTAAAACTTTTAAAATATGTGGAAATGAATCCCTGGAAATCAATCAAGGAAATGCACAGAGGTGTATCAACTTTCTGACAGAGGATCCACGTGTAGCTTATGCGGTGTCGGGGAACACAGCCATATTCCTGAAAATATCATGAATTTTTCATTGATGCAATACAAGCTTCATATGATTGTTTACATATTCGTGTCAGAAAACATATGTAGTGAATATGGGTGAACTGTACATTTCAATGTTTCACTCAGAAGGTATACGCCACAGTAAAATTTTAAGAAAATTTAATTCGATCTTGCTTTATAACTTGCTTTATATCGAGTAATGAATTTTGGGGCTGTCCTATATAAAAGCCCTGGATATTTTGATGCGTATTCTCCACTACTGCAATCAGCATCAGAGGTACCGTATTCACAATTTAATCTCTAAATTAACTGATCTGCATCGTTTCGCTTTAATTTGTCAATCAATTCTTAAATCTCAATCTCTGTTTTCAAGACAACTGGACCGATGGCAACCATAATACCATGCATGCTGCAAACGTGCTTCATCGAATGTAGTAAAAATGACTTACTCTCGGCTGGGATGACAGTGCCAGTCTCCTGGCTCGCCTCAGTCAGCCTGAAACAGAGCAGCTCGACTATCATCAGTAGCGCCACGGCAGCGCAGAAGGGCTGCAAGAAGCCTCTGGTCTTCATGCTGGCACCGAAAATCTCTGCAATAAAATGGAGAGGCGGCCGGGGGGCGCTTAGCGGGGAGCCCTCTGCGCGAAGCCGCACACCGTGCACGAAATAAACACGCATGCAATTACTGCTGATAATCTGGAAATACGCGGTAATCAGAACCACGGAAGGCAAAGTACTATTGAAGCTGCAATGCATTGCACGATCGGAGCATCCTTTTCCCATTCATCAGTATCACCAACGATAGCAGACAAAAGAATCAGCAAAAAAAAAAATCACATTACGATGATTACGTATTCGACACAGAAACGACAGCTGAGCTCCTAACGTTTGAAAAATATTAATTTAATTAACCATTAATAACAGTTTTCGAAAAAGATTAATATATATATTTACCAATTGCCTTTGATGGAGAACAAAACGCCGCTAGTCGCCGCCTATAACTGCCCTCTGCGGCTCGGTTCTGGCGTGCGGGAAGCGCACCGGTGCTTATAGTCCTTCACGGGCCACCGTAGGTTCAGGCCGAAACGTGGCCGACAGGCAGCGGACGCGTTTCGGTCCCATGGCCACAGGCGCGTAGTACTGGAAGTGTGGAAATTCGTATAAAATTGTATATGTAAAAACATACTAACATAAAAGGGTACGATAATACAATTTATAGGAACACCAAGTCTGGTTTAGAAGTTGAATATGAAGTAGTTTGTGTTATATTTTAAAACGAGGGGAAGGAAACTGCGTGACGTATTAGGTAAAATATTAATTAAGTGCATTCTGAGCAAGCCAATAATAGTCATTTTTATCAGGGTTATGAACAGTTTTGCTTTTTTCGGACTGACGAAATTGCCGCCTGCTGCATTGATAGCGGGTTTAACTGATGGCTGAAAGCTGCGTAAGCAGGGATATCGGCTTGAAAGCGGCGCGGCTGCCGTACTGTGTGCGGCGCCATCTTGCCGTACGGCGGTGGCCCAGCGGAGCATCATGGGGGCCCTGCCCGCAGCGTGTTTAGTTAGGGTAGCCTGTTAAAATGCCGAACACCGTTTACTTCTTTTTCCAAGATGGCGTCGATGAGGGACAGCGACACCGGCCTCTGGCTGCACAACAAGCTGGGATCCACGGACGAGCTGTGGGCGCCCTCCAGCATTGCCTCGCTGCTGACCGTGTCCGTGATCGACAACATACGCCTGTGTTTTTCTAGTTTGTCCCCCCCGGTGAAGCTCAAGCTGCTGCTTGGGATGCTGCATCTCCCGCGGCGCACCGTGGACGAGGTGGGTCCCTGCGAGCCGCGCTCCGAGTCGGGGCGCTGAGATCGGTCTGCAACGCGCTGGCTGGCGATCCCCCGGGCGTGGCCGCCGTGCAGCCCGCGTAGCGGTGCCGGTCGCACCATGCAGCCCGGACCCGGCGGTATCCGGGTTCCCCTAGCAGATACTCTGGACGTGGCTCGGAGTTTCACATTGCGCTCCTTCAGTTGTCAGCTGGCAGCCGCAGCATTTTGCGCGCATTGTGCGGATCCTGCAACGACAGGCGCGTACAGCGACGGAATCAGCGGCGGGTTCGTCTGTGGTCCTGGTTCGGGGTTGGGATGACCACGTTGGCTAAGGACGATCGCCGATGTTTTTAGGCTGTTCAGCTTTGCAGTTAGCGTGACTGTCTGGGTTTTTGGGATCGGTTTGCTTCAAGGTGCCGGAGGATCCCGATTCGAGCCGTGCGCCATGTGCTGACATGTCCAAGTGGACCCGCCGAGGGACCGCCCTCTCCTCACACTGCCTTGGAGATGCGATCAAAACATACATGTATCACTAGTAATTCGCCTAGTATTTGCTTTAATAGATGGCTGTTTCTATGTGTGTCAAAAGTGGTTTTGGATTTTTAAGAACTTTAGATTAAAATAAAATCTTGAAATGATGATGGAGGGAGTGTTTTTGATGATGTTTGTTTGTCAAATAGGTTTATTTTTTTTTACATTTATTGTTCAGATCTGCAAGTGGGTGAAACGAGATTTTAGTTTAGAATTAAATGTCTGCATTGTATTACTCTGTTTAAATGTGACATCAGTATAAGCTTAACAGCTCTGAACGGAGATTTTTAAATCTATTAGCTGCTGGATGTAGTAAAACGGGAAGGTATTTACTAGATATCATTTTCAGTATAAAAATCTCACTGAAAAAATCTCCATCTGTGGATGGATGAATGGATATATATGCATCTAGGTAGAGCTGGTCGGTTTGAATAAAATATCATATTGTTATTATAAACGTTCATAGCCAAAACACTTGTTTTCTTGCATAATTAACAGTTATAATGCACAGTTAAACATTACATCAAGTTATGTTTCTGTTGTTGGCATAATTTATCGTCATATCTGTCACATTCTCCGTAACTATTAGTAAAACAATTTGGTTATCATAATCATAAAAACTCAAAACCACCTATAATATTTTACTGTTTTCTACATATGAATTTTATAGTATCATGATAAATAGGTATGTTGTGAAAATCTCAGAAAATCTTGTGATATTGTTTTCAGGGCTTATGGCCAGCCGTCCGTCACGGTATATTTCCTGGAGCTGTTCAGTTTAAATACCTGCCATCATTCACAGCCCTGTCTCTCAGTGCCACGATAGCTGGCCTGGAGGGTCTAGTGCCCTTAATGACGATGCGTAGTGCGCCTGTGTTATGTAGGGGGTGACTGTCGTCATTCGTGTCCCTGTCTCGGCAGATGAAGGAGGCTCTGAATGAGATCATCCAGCTGGCCACGCTGGACTCGGAACCGTGGGTCCTGATGGTGGCCGACATCCTTAAGTCTTTCCCTGAGACGGGCTCCCTTAACCTGGACCTGGAGGAGCAGAACCCCAATGTGCAGGACATCCTGGGGGAGCTGAGAGAGAAAGGTGGGGGCGACCAGGGGCAGTGATGATGTCAGAGGGATGTCGGCGTGTCATTCGTGGGTCAGGCAGCTTCTGTGGGTTAATGTCGCTGTCAGGATATAAATCTGCACAAGCTGGCTTTTGTAGGTATGAATCAGCATTTTGGCAACTTTACCCTCCAGCAGATAATCTTACCTGTAATACAACGAATCCTCAGCTATTGTTTTCCATTTTTATCTACTTATTTATACTAAATAATTAAACATACTGGTGGCTGCAGTTATGTTCTGCAATTAAGTGCATGATGTGACCTGCTAGGTTAAGATGAGACCAGCATTTGCGTCAGTTGTTAGCATTAGCCTGTACCTATGATAACTGCACCCTTAAAGACAAGTAGGATGAATTTAGCTTTATTAGAAGTTTCCCAAAAAGTAGGGTGTTGGGGGTCAAAGGTGAAACTGGGGGCTGGTTGTGAGTGGCTTCTGTGACGGGATGCCGTCAGAGGTTTTGTTGCGTCAGGATTGCTGGTAAGACTCCAGCGTGCTGACAGACGATTGGCCGCTTGCCCTGGTGACCCCGCCCCCCTCTGCTCCGCAGTTAATGAGTGCGAGGCTTCGGCCTTGCTGCCCCTCGAGTGTCAGTACCTGAACAAGAACGCCCTGACCACCCTGGTGGGGCCGCTCACGCCTCCCATCAAGCACTTCCAGCTGAAGAGGAAGCCCAAGAGCGCTACCCTGAGGGCAGAGCTGCTGCAGAAATGTAAAGGCGCACGTCTCTCCGTTACGCTGTGCTTCCTCTCGTTTTCGACTGCGTGTACAGGTAGCGTTTTGGGACAATAGCTGCTCGTTGACTCACTGGGTCACTCTGTCCCTGCTCCCCCCCAACACGGTAGCCACGGAAACAGCACAGCAGCTGAAGAAGACAGCCGGAGTGCCTTTCCATGCCAAGGGGAGGGGCCTGGTGAAGAAGATCGACACCACAAGTGAGCCCACCCCCCCACCAAAACATGCCTGGGTGGGGGTGTGTCTGTGTGACTGTGGTAGTGTGTGTGACCCGTGTGCATAAGGTCCATGCCCTAGTTAAAATAACATTCAATGGGAAGCTGTACCCAGAAATGGAGCGATTGTGTTAATTGCCAGAAGGTTTCCAGTGTATCTGAAAGAACAGGCTCTTTGTTGTCTGGAGTATCCGGCCTCTCTGTCGCCCAGTGACATTCTTCTTGCACTGTAGATTTATGCTGTCTGCAGTTTTTTTTCTCGGTATCAGTACCTGTATGTTTTACTACTTTGGTGTTTGCACTAAAAGGTCGGGGTTACACTGCCCTTCCTCCCTGGCTCTCCCGAAGCTTCCCATAATTCTTTGGTGCTGTCACGTGACCCGTGCGGCCCGTCTCGAGCTCCTGTAGGTTTTAGTGTTTTGTGGTTTGTTATTTTTTTTGCAGCCTCTCATTTAAAAAATGGAATTGTACTTTATAGAGCAGATAAATGCCCTGCTGATTAGTGTCTAAAGACGTTAGTTGGAACCAAAAGCAGGCCTCCGATAGTGTGAGCATTGTGAAGCTGCCAGATGCCTGTCACATTGCACATGTCACCTGTATTGTGAGGGGTTCCCTGTCAGGTCCTGACGTGCACCTCCCTGTGCCCCCCAGCTCCCCTCAAGGGCATCCCGAAAGCCCCCTTCCGGAGCCCCACTGCCCCCAGCATGTTCAGCCCCCCCAGCAACAGGACGCCCATCGCCCCCGTGCGGACACCTTTGCGCAAGGAGCGCGGGGTCAAGGTGAGCGTGTTTCACGCTCGTGGAGCGTGAATGAGCCTCAGGACTGTGTGTGAAATCACAGCGTTACGGCCGAATGCCGACAGTGAGCCTGACAGGTGCTAAATGGGGCATGTTGATGTCCCCAGTTATTGGATATCTCCGAGCTGGACATGGTGGGCGCCGGAAGAGAAGCCAAGAGGCGGAGAAAGACGCTGGGTGAGCCCACACTCCTGTCACCGCTGCGGTCAGGGCTTAAAGTGTGACGTGGTGTTTCTCACAGGCCTTGAAAAGTAGGCTGTCTGCCAGGAACAGAAAGCCACGTTCTCCTGTAGAGTCATTTTAGTCAGTAGCGATAGTAAAGCTGAGGACTGTGGGAGTTTGTGGCCTTCGCCGCTCAGGATTGTGGGTATTGTAGTCCTGCTCTTGCCCATGTGATCACCTTGTACACATTGTCGCTCCAGATACTGAAGCGAGCGAGAAGGTTGCCAAAGAAGAAGCGGTGGTGGAGAACACCACGCCCGACTATGCCGCCGGCCTGGTGTCCGCGCAGGTGTGTAAGCCCCACCCCCCCCTCCCCCGCGTCGCATGCTCTGTGCCTCACGTGCGACTGATCTGTCTCTCTGCAGAAACTGGGCTCCCTGAACAACGAGAGCACGCTGCCGTCGACCAGCTACCTGCCTGCCACGCCCAGCATGGTTCCGTCCTCGTCTTACATTCCCAGCTCCGAGACGCAGCCGGGTGAGTCTTCGCCCCCACTGTGGCCCACATGGTGTGTGTCC